TACATGATGAAAAATTCGAGGGAGGGTAGGGCATTGGTTGATGATGAATAATCAATCAAACCCGTGTTCACTTTTGATCCCTCGTTGTGTGGACAGCATTCTTCGTCTTTTATTTTATTATCAATTAAAATGATTAACACATTCCTCATGTGACACTGCGCTGACTATGGCCCTCGCTCCACTTCTCTCCAAACGTGCAAAATGAGAATGAATCTTCCATTAGAACATGGATGGAAGCATACACCACCATATTTTTTGTCTTTTGTGTATGTGGAGAGCCGTGGAGCGAGGCCCTATGCCTTGAGGATATTACCGGTATTCACGGCGCTGCTGCTGGCGCTCCTGCTGCTGCTGCTACTATTGTTGTTGGTGATGCAGATAATGATGATTGTGGTGAAGAGAGACGTCTGTCGAGTCCCTGCTTCCCCTACTGCGCTTCAACTCATCGAACTTGCGTGTAACATCTCGCATAATCGGCCTTTGATCCCTCTCCCGCCGACAACAGTGCAGTCCCAACAACAGCAGCACACAAAGCTCGTATTCATCAACGGCACCGCCAAGCCTAGGATCCACCAGTCGAACCGCCGACGTCAGATCTCGCGGCCGCCATTGCTTCTTCACCTGCGGACCGGAATTCACACAAGTCAACCACCATTCAAACCAGGTTGGAACCATGTCGGAGCACGCACACAGCACAAACCAGCACAGAGGCAAGTCATAGGCCAGGACCAAACATGGTACACACCAAGACATGCAAAACTGAGACCAGGAACAAAACTGAGACCAGGATCAAACGCACTTAGGACGACCAGTTGACAACCGACAAAATTCACAAAACACAGTACTCGTGTGGAATCATCGGATCACGGGGACGGGGTCAACAACATGGCTGAGGGCAAAAAAAAAAAAAAAAAAAAAAAAAAAAAAAAAGAACAACATGGCACTGAGGGACAGTGGTCGGATGCAACCTGGAGACTAACGGGTAACAGTGGCCAAAACGCGAGGAGGGGAAACGAAAAAAAGAAAAAAGAAAAGGAACAGCATGGCACTGGTGAAAAGAAAATAATTGAAAACAAAAACAGTTTAAAAGTTAAAACACGAAAAGAACAAAAGAAGAAGAAGAAGAAGAAGAAGAAGAAGACAAGCTAAGAAGGAAACAAGCAAAGAGAACAAGAAGGCGGTGAGCAACCTGGTTCCAACGTGGTTCCAATGTGGTTCCAACGTGGTTCAGACCTGGTTCCAACCTGGTTCAGACCTGGTTCCAACCTGGTTCCAACCTGGTTTAAACCTGGTTCCAACCTGGAAGGTTGAACGGGATGAAAAGTGATGAGGAAAGGAGAATGACATGGTGGTGGTGGATAACACGGCATAAAACTGGGAGAGGTTAAATCATTGCCTCATAGAGTAGTAAATGAGACCCCAGGAACTTACATGCTGCTCCCCACGAATATAGATTGGACCACGGTCCCATTCATAAAAAAGAAGGAAAAAAAAAAAGTGGATGTGATGACAAGGAGCTAGGAGGACGGGATGGTCGGCGGTGACCGAACAAGTAACTGGACGATATTCAAAAAACACATCAGAGGGTACGCCACAGGGTAGGCAACACGGCAAGCGACACGGCGACGAGAACGACAATGGCGATGGGTGGGTGAAGGGGGGCACGCAGCTGAAGAGGGATTTTCATCCTTTGAATGATAGGGTGCCAGGTGGAACAAGAACCAACAGGCAAAAGAGAACGAACGGGATGGCAGAGGGCGGCACAAGAAGGAAAGGAGAAGGACGCGGCGGCGGTGGCAGCGGGAGCAGATGTCTATCTTACCCATTGGCGAATCGACAGTTTCGCATCCGGTATGTTCGCTGGTGATTAGTTAAATGCAACTGGGTGAGACGAGGAGGAAAAGAGAAAGGATGCGGTGACGGCGGAGGCAGCGCCAGCAGGACGGGAGATCTTATCTTGCTTATTCAAGGCGAGTGCGAGCAGACGCGAAGCGATCCATCTCTCGTTCTAGTCCTCCAGAGGCCTGTTTATTTAAAATAAATTGTGCCCCATTCTATTCTATTTTAATTAACACAAACCGCACATAATAAGAAAGATGGTGTTCGCTATAAGAACGTAGATTATGAAGTATCCGCAGTTTCGCATCTGGTATTTTGCCGGTGATTAGTTAAATGCCATTGGGTGAGAGAAGGCGGAGGAAAAACATAAGGATGCGGTGGTGGCGGCAGCGACGGCAGAGGTGGCGCAGCCGGGGGGGGTCGAACGTACCCATTTGCGTATCGGCAGTTGTATATCTGGTATTTTGCCGGTGATTATATATTTTTACAAGCATACTTTTGTTCTCTTTTTGTGATACCAGATCTAAAATTAATATGAATATTATATTCAAGATCAGAATTCCTTCCAAGGAGGGGGAATTTCGATGGAAAAGGATGCAGTCGTGGTGGCGGTGGAACCGGATGTGTATCTTACCCATTCGCGAATCTGCAATTTCGCATCTGGTATTTTGCCAGTGATTAGTTCAAGCAGTACAATGCCATAGGCGTACACATCAGCTCCTTCGGTGACCAGTTCGCTGTGGAGGACCTCCGGGGCCATGTAGCCAAGCGTTCCGACGACATCAGTTTCTGACACCAATCCCGATTTTCCGATAGGTCTGCAAAGACCGAAATCGCCGAGCTTCACTGTCAGATCGGACGTCAGGAAGACGTTCTTCGGCTTAACATCGCGGTGGACCACCGGGCGCTCCAGAGAGTGGTGCAGGTACTCGAGTGCGAACGCCACTTGATTAGCGATCTTCACCCGCTTGGGCCAGTCCAATTCAGTTTTGACACCGTTGACAGAAGCTGAGGGCATGCCAAAAAAAAAGAGTCGAGACAAAAAAGCACCACAGACGTCGTGAGCCTAAATTTGAAGTATTGCACTCAATGCTCAGCCAAAAAAAAAAAAAGGTACCCTGATCAGAAAGACGAAAAAAAAAAGCCAAGGTCCATAATAAAGAAAAAAATGCTTCACAAACACTCTCCGTAATTACTAATTTGAAAATGAGGGGAAAACAGAAAAAAAAAACACACAAAAGAGAAACACACACACACACACACACACACACACACACACACCAGTTTCATGTATGTAATATGTATGTATGTATGTATGTATGTATACATGTATTTCCTCGTTCTCGAATTTTTCCTTTGTGTATGTCTTTGTGAGCACCTTCAAGAAGTGCTAAATAGTCGGTGGTTGGTGGTTTGGAGGGCCTGAAGGAGGGGAGCCGTTCTCTTTGTGATGTCTATGTGGTGCATATGGTCTACCGTGATGATAGATGTCTGTCGGAGTGACTCCCTGGCTCAGTGGGTGGTGGGAACCAACGGTCTGCGGGATTCACTCGCAATGTGAGTAGGTGATGCACCTCGTTGCTCCGTGTTGGATGTGTAGACTGCCTTGTCTGCACTCCATCGCTGCCTAGCTGCCTGTCCCCGCTTGCATCGCATGTCGTTCTTTGCAAGCTGCTGTATTCACTGTGTGGTTGCGGTGTTAGTGTTGCTCTGTGCTTCGCTGCGCTGCTGCCTTGCTGCCCATCCGCGCGTCGTTCCTTCCTGTTTCCTGCTTGTGTGTTGTGTGATGTGGCTGGTGTGTTGGTGTTGCCTTGTGCTTCGCTGCGCTGTTGTTGTGCCGCTCGTCCGCTTGTCATGTCGTTCCTTGCAGTCGTTTTTGGTGTTGTGCAGTTGAGTTGATCCAGTAGTGTTGCCTGGTGCGTCGCTGAGTTGCTGCCCGCTGCTATGTTCCGCTTCGGGACAGTCTGCCTTCAACATGGCTCAACGGGTTCATGAGCCAAAGGTCCCAGACCATGAATACGGAGATTCCGCAGTATGTCGAGGGTTCAGTCTACTGAGGAGTCGGAGAAACTCCGCCCACAAAAAATATATCATCAGCTTTATTTTTCTTCAGTCTTTGCATTTTTTATGGACTTGTTTTTTTTTTTGGTTCGGCTGTTGTGTGTGTTTGTGTGCCCTCTGCCCTCCCACCTCCCTCGTGCCCTCCACCCTTTGTCCTTTGATGCGGCCTGTCGTCCTATGCACTGTTGGTTGTCTTGTGTTGTTTTCTTTCTGTTTGTTTGTGTGTCATCTGCTCTGCCCTCCCAATGATTCTCATAGATCTCACGAGTGCCTGCATGTCGAATGCTTCACACCTTTCCATAATTTTGTACGTTCTGCCAACTGGTAGTTGCGATTGTATCGTGTTAAGGATAACGCACACACGTCTCCACAAACACACACACACACACAGACACACACACAGACACACACACAGACACACACACAGACACACACACACACACACACACAATCAGTTTTTGGTATGTTTGTTTTTTCCCCTTTCTCCTTATTTTTTTCTTAGTACCTTTTGTGTACCTAGCTCAGCACCCTCTAGCAGTGCCAAACAGTCGGTCATGCCTTGTTTGGAGTGCCTACAGCACTCTTAGGGGGGCCGCTCCGTTCGGGATGTCTGTGGTTTCTGCGGGTGATGATGGATGATTGTCTGAGTGCATCCCTGGCTCAACGGGTGGTGGGAACCAACAGTCTGCGGTGTTGAATCGTGATGCGAGTAGGTGATGTACCGCTTTGCTTCGTTTTGGATGTGTGGACGGCATAGTTGCGGCGCACCAGTGCGCAGTGCGGTGCGGGGTGGGGCGCACTGCGCTGTGCGCTGGAATGACAGCACGCGCACTGTGTGGAGTGCGCAGTGCGGTCCGCTGTGTGCGGTGAGCGCGCTGAGGGAGATGCGCCCTGTGCGCGATATTAAAAAAAAAAAGCAAAAAAAGAGAGCCCCAGACTGCCACAGAGACAGAGAGAGAGAGAGAGAGAGAGAGAGAGAGAGAGAGAGAGAGAGAGAGAGAGAGAGAGAGAGAGAGAGAGAGAGAACAGAGATAACAAAGGGTCCCCTTCGCATCAATTCGAGGGCCCCTGCAGGTACCTCGAATGACTCCTACGTTACATGTGGGGTCATCGAGGACCACTGCTTCATTTAGGAGGATGGTCTCGTTACCTGTGGAAGAGGTAGGGCAGACCACCAATATATGCTTTGGATTCGAGTTCAAGGCTGTAGATCGGCAGTTATGGGTCACCAATTCAGCTAGAGCCTGTTCGTGTCTCCACGTGATTCTCAGGGCCTCCCTCCACCACTCACCAAATGTATACAATATTAGTAGAATGAATCTTCTGCTAAAACATGGAACCATACACCGCCATATGCTGTCTTTTGTGCATGTGGTGAGTAGTGGAGCAGGCCCCACTGTACGTATTCATAAGAAAACAAAAACAAAAAACCGAGAGAGCGATGGGCATCTTCATCCTAACCCATAACTGCCGACATGCAGACCTCAACGCCAACCTTCAGAATATATTGGCGGTCGGCCAGACATGAAAATGTAACCTGTGACTTCTGCAATGTTCGTGGGGCAGGTTATTACTAGGTGAGTACTCCCTTCTCACGAACTTACCCCACCACTGTGTGGGATTTGCAGAAGGGAGGGGGAAGGCCAGTTTCCATACCCCGCCTAAGAGAAAAGTTGGAATGAGCCCTATTTTATGCTTTGCCTTTTTGAGATTCGGCAGCCCTTGCCCAAAAAAAAGTTCCGGCCCGGGGCCACGGCCGGTTTGCGAGCTCGCGCGGTGCGTTTAACATTTTTGTCGAGTTGGGGAACCTAAGGAATGACAAAACCCCTACTTTTCTTTTTTTTTTTTTGGACCTAATTTTTACAGTGCAGTGCGCTCCACTGCTGCCTTGCTGCCTGTCCCCCGTGCTTCGCACGTGGTTCTCTGCAAGCTGCTGTATTTGGTGTGTGGTGTGGCCGTATTGTTGGTTTTGCCTTGCGCTTCGCTGCTCCGCTGCCTTGCCGCCCTTCCGCTGGGCGTGCCTTCCATGTCCTGTGCTTGCACCCCTTGTAGTTCCATTGTCGTGTTGATGACATCTGGTGTTGCCTTGTGCTTCACCGCATGGTTGCTGCGCTTCTCATCCACTCGCACTGTCGTCCCTTGCAACATCGTTGCCTTCGTGGTGTTGCCTTGTGCTTCACTGCCTGGTTGCTACGCTGTGTGTGGCCCTTTACTGCGTTGCCTGGTGCTTCACTGCCTGGTTGCTGCGCTTGTTCTTTGCAGTCGCTTTTGGCGTTGTGCAGCGGTGTTGCCTCTCCTGCGTTGCCTGGTGCCCCGCAGGGTTGCTGCCCGCTGCTATGTTCCACTTGGCGACAGTCTGCCTTCAACACGAGTCAAAAAGGTTCATGACCCAAGCCATCCAATACGGAGACTCCGCAGATTGTCGAGGGTTCAGCCTCCTGATGATTCAGTGCAACTCCGACGAAACAATCTGTCATCATCAGCTTTTACTTTTATAACTTTTTTTCAGTTTTTTTTGCGTTTCGGAGCTTGCTTTGTCTGTCTGCTGGTTGTTGTCATTTCCCTGCCATATGTGCTTGTGTGTTGTCTGCCCTCGCGCCTTCCCCGTGCCTTCCAACCTATGTGTTGTCTTAATTTTTTGCTTCCCCCGTGTGCCCTTCAGTCTATGTGCCTTGTTGTGCCTTGTCATCCAACAGTGCACTGCCTCTCTGCCCCTCGGCTTCGTTGTCGCACCTACCCCCTTCTTCTGCGTTTGCTTGTGATGTACTATTGTGTTATCTGCTGGTTGTTGTCATCTGCCTGCCTTGTATGCCTGTGTGTTGTCGGCATAAGGGGATGAGCCCTTTCTCGCCAGGTAGCAATGAGACCAGGAAGAACGTGAAATTATCCATTTGCCCTGGTAAATGTCGTTCCTGCCATGCTTGAGACATGCTGTACCTGCACGGTTACGCGGTACAAAGCAACCCGGTGATCTTTCATCGGAGAAATGCATGACGCAGGCAAATGTGTCAATGGCATATAATACATTGATAAGCACACACACACACACACACACACACACACACACAAACAATCAGTTTTATGTCTGTCTGTTTTTTCTCTTGTTGTCTGTTCTCCTTCTGATTTTTCTAAGTACTTTTACTTGCCCAACTGAGCACCCTTAAGTAGTGCCAAACAGTCGGTGGTTCCTTGTTTGGAGTGCCAACTGCACTCTTAGGGGGACCGCTCGGTTTGGGATGTCTGTGTTGCCTGTTGGTGATGTCGGATGCTCGTCGGAGTGTCTCCCTGGCTCAGTGGGTGCTGGGAACCAACAGTCTGCGGGGTTCAATCGTGATGTGAGCAGGTCATGTGCTGCTTTGCTCCGTGTTGGATGTGTGGACGGACTCATATCTGCTCCGCCCTGCCCTTCTGCCTGTCCCGCTTGCTTCGCATGTGGTTATTTGCAGGTTGATGTGTTCGCTGTGTGCTGTGGCCGTGTTGTTGGTGCTGCCTTGTGCTTCGCTGCTCCGCTGCCTTGCTGCCCTTCTGCTGGTCATGCCTTCCGTGTTTGCTGCTTGCGGGCCTTGTTGGATGATTGCCTTGTTGCTGATGCCTTGTGCTTCGCTCCACGGTTGAAGAGCTGCTGGTCCGCTCGCCCTGTCGTCCCTTGCAGTGTGGTTGCCTTGTTTGTGTTGTCTTGTGGTTCACTACATGGTTGCGGCGCTGCTTGTCCAGCGTGCCATGTCGTTCCTCGCAGTCGTTTTTGGCGTTGTGCAGCCGTGTTGCGTCTACTGTGTTGCCTGGTGCTCCACAGGGTTGCTGCCCGCTGCTATGTTCCGCTTGGGGACAGTCTGCCTTCAACAAGGGTCAAAGGCTTCATGACCCAAACCATCAAATACGGAGATTCCGCAGATTGTCGAGGGTTCAGCCTCCTGATGAGACAGTGCAACTCTGACGAAACAATCTTGTCATCATCGGTTTTTTATTTTTTTCGGATTTCGCTGTTTTATGCTTTGCCTGCTCTGTGTGTTGCCCTCCCGCCTCTCCCGTGCCCTCCAGCCATTGACTTTTGCTGCTGCCTGTTGTCTTATGCTTGGGGTATCTTCCTGCACTTGCACTTTTTTTTTGTCTTTCCTTGTTTTGTGCACTTATGTATGGTCTGCCCTCCCACCTCCCCCGTGCCCACCAGTCGTTGTGCCTTTCTGCAGTATTGTTGCCGTTGCCTCCTTGCCTTTTTTTGCCTTATCGTGCTTCTTTTCCCTGCCTTGTGGTGTCTGTTTGATAGTGTGTGTTCCGGGAGCATGGATGGTCGTGTCGTCCGGCATCCCCACCTTACAGTATAGGTTCCATCTGCACCACGCCTACACGTTCTTGTTCCCACCTCACGAGTACCGGATGCGTCTGCACTCCGCCTACAAGTTTTCATTCCTAAGGCGCGCCGATATATTATTTCAGAGCTTGATTATGATGCAGTTCCCATATCATACCACAAACGTGTCCATATTAAGCAGGGCACACACTTTCAACAAACACACACACACACACACACACACACACACACACACACACACACACACACACAGATGTACACACACACACACACACACACACACAGATGACCACCGGAAAGTTTGTCAAACAGCCATTCTGAGGCACAGGCACCGGCGCAGACCACTGCTACCAGCCCCCCTCGCCATTTGTTGTGACCAGCTACTTTCAGATGTGCACCCTGTCCGGTCTGTGTGCCATACGTCCGTACTCCATCCATGCAATGTCCACTGCAACGATCATATACAAAATTAAATGTAAATGAATGAGGGAAGGGTTTCTGTCCTATTAGCTCCCTCACCTTTATGCAGATGGTCGTGTAATGACTTGTTGCCGACATGATCATACACCAAGAAATGCCCATTGTCGTGGTAGCAATATCCGAGAAGCCGCACCAGGTACCTATGATTGATATTTCCGAACAACTTAACTTCATTTGTAAAGTCTTTACGGCACCTATAATACGCGGCCTGCACAGGGGAAGAGGGGGAGGGGGGGGGGGGGGGGGGGGGGGAACACAAACGTCGAGAGTTAAGTTACACGTAGACGACAACAATAATCTTTATGCCGAATCATATTGCCGATCAATGACAAATAATAATCACCATGCAAAAAAATAATAATAATAAATAAAAAAATTCACCAAACAAAATGATAAAAAAACAGAAAAGCAGCAGGTAAGCAGCAGGTTCACGCGGAAGAAAGGAAAAGAAGTCCCAAAAACCTTTGACAGAAAAGGAAAAACAAAACAAAATGCATGGTGCAAAGAAAATGAGCAAATAGCGAAATACACAATTCCAGATTGCAAAATCGTGTTCAAAGCCAGAGTGTCCAAAACTGTCCAGAAAGCAGAAATGCACTGATATAACACCAAAGGACAACCAAAGCAGCGAACTCAATTGTCAATGAAAACGTCATACTCTCACCACCACCGACAACATAGTCGAAGCTCTTCCTCCTACATGGCGCTCAGAGCCCAGACTACAATCACACAGCTACTCTCCAGCCAACAAACGACGAAACAACCAGTTGACGTCAACAGCAGTAACCAAAGTACATGCAGATGTCGACCATATAGACCTCCGCCAAGACCAGGTACATTCCCTCACATCATTTCCCTTCTCGCCCCCTCATGCTCACCCTCGTCTTCTTCTTCCACATCCCCACTCTACCGAAGACGACCACGCCCGCTGACATTCGTCCAAGCCAAGCCCGGCTATGGAGGCTTGGCTATGGCGCTGCCACCTTGCAGACTCGTTCACCTACCTGGAAAGCTGATGGTCATCTGTGCCTATTTTCAAATCCTATCATAGCTTCCTGTCCTTTCCTGATGTGCCCCACAGCCTGGTGCAGACGCTGTTCATATTTGACAGCGAATTCAATGCTGCCCGGCGCTGCAGTGGGCTAGTTTTCAGGCAACAGAAAATCGAGAGCAGATATGGGCTTCCAACCAAGATGAAGCTGGTGGGGAGTCAGGCCGGTAGTGCTATGCACAGCGTTGTTATACAAACTGACGTTGAGAGGTAACTTCTCATCCCAGTCATCCTGGCTCAGAGCAATTTCTGCAATACTCTATCCATCTGCTCTGCCTGGCCATTAGACTCAGGGTGATTCCCTGAGATCATCAGCAGTTGGGATCCCATCTGCTGGGCCATGCTTTGGCACAATTCACTTGTGAAGCTGACATCCTTGTCACTGACCATGGACTTAGGAAGACCAAAGTCACGCACCCAATTATCCACAAACAGTTTGATTACAAGGTCAGTCTTAGCGGTCTCTGGCATGGCTATCAATCTAGCATACGTACTAAACATGTCCACGATGACGAAGATGTGTCTTTTGCCCCCCTCTTGCTGGTCACAAGAGTATCCACGAAATCCATGGGCACACTATGACCTGGACCAGCATGACCAGGCAAGGGCTTGCGAAAGCCCAAGCACTGCCTGAGTTCGTGGCTTGTCACGTTGACAAACCTGACAAGTTGCTACATAGTTCTTCACATCATCCATCATTGTGGGCCACCAAAAACACGACACTAAGTTCGCTGACGTTTTCCTGAAACCGAACTGGCCGGTTGCGTCATGACACTCACCTAGAGGAAACAAACTACACAGACTCTCTAGATGGAACACAAACGTTTATTACCTGCCTTCTCGAGGAACAGCAAGCCGTTGACCAGCACAAACTCGTCTGATGTGACCTTATCCTTGGCTCCGGGTTTGTGCATGATCTCAGACATGATGGGGTCCTCCCGGTAGGCTTCCACCATGGATCGAGTTACATCGTCCGACATCCTGAACTTCGTCAGTACCGCACCCAAATAGTCTGCCCTCCTGGACAATGCATCCGCCACCTTTTTATACTCTCCCTTGAGGTGGTTCAGTCTGAAGTCATACATATCTACGACTTCAATCCATCTCTTCAGTGCGTTCAGAGAGCAGGTTGCGTCTTGATCCAGCGTAGAGTCTCATGATCAGATCTTACATAGAAAAATCTTCCAAGGAGGTAGTGCTTCCAAGGAGTCAACGATTTGTATAGAGCGTAGAGCTCTCACTCGTATGCGCACTTAGCTTTTGCGATTGCATCGTTTTGTTCATGTACTCAATTGGCCTCAACTTTTTTCCGTTACTCTTGCGCAAGGATCGCACCAATGCCATATTGACTGGCATCCGTCGTCACAATGAGAGGCTTCTCAAAATCGGGAAGCTTCAAGACTTCATGGTGCGTGAGGGAATACTTCAATCTCTTCAAGGCTGCTTCGCACTCACCTGTCCACTACCACGGGGTGTCAAGGCGCGTGAGGTCCGTCAGTGGGGAAGCTATACTACTTCAGTTTTTCACAAACGACCGATAGTAGCCCATTGTCCCCAAGAAAGACCTCACCTCAGTCAAGGACTGAGGTTTAGGCCAGTCACGTATGCTGGCCACCTTAGCATCACCCGGCCTCAAACCATCCGCTGAAATTTCATTAACCAGGTACACCGAACTCGCTTTTTTCCAAGTTGACCTTGTATCGGTGTTGTCTTAGGAGCCCTAGCACTATCTTCATGTGCTCAACATGCTCCTCTACAGTCCTACTAAATCTAAGGATGTTGTTGAGGTACACAATGATAGACTTATCAAAGTAGTCATGAAAGATCCTATTCATCGCGTGTTGGAATGTCCCAAGAGCATTGCAAAGGCCGAAAGGCATCACCACAAACTCATATAGACTGTACCTGGTGTGAAAGGTGGTTTTGTGTTGATCCTTGGGCCTTATGCCAATTTGATGGTATTCGGACTTTAGTTCTATCTTACTGAAGTACCGACATCCCTACACCCTATCCAAGAGGTTGTCAATGCAGGGTAGGGGCTCCGTGTTTTTAATTGTGATGGCATTGAGGCCCCTATAGTCAATGCACATTCTCAAGGTAACCCCCTTCTTAGGACTAAATAGAACTGGTGCATCGTAAGTGGAGGTACTAGGCTGGATCCCGCCCTTCTCTTTGAGCTCCTTAAGTTGTCGGCGAAGCTCATCTAGCTCTGCAAGAGACATCCTATATATCTGTCCTTTAGGTACCCTGCTACCTGGAATGACCTCAATTGCCTGGACAATCATCCTCTCGACTACGCCCCAATGCTCCTAAAAAAGGTTTGGATATTGAGTGACTCTTGCATCTATCTCTGGGGGTGCCTTTACGTCCTTCCCTTTCTCAGAGACAAGGACTAGATACATGCCTTCCTCACGATTCTGCTTGTAATAATTATAGAAAGTTAAAGCGCACATGCAACCAAAGGACTCGACTTGCCTGCTTGCTTTGTACTTCAGCAATCTAATGGACCTCCTATTAGGCAACTTGTACATCATCACCTTCCTATCCCTGTCGAATTGAGGCTTAGCAACCTCGAGGTAGTACCAACCTAGCAACATATCAAAGTGTCGCTGACCGCTAACTAGGAACGAGATTTTGTCTCTCAATTCCCCTCCTCCATAGGAGAAGGTACAAACTACATCCTTAATGTAATCCTTCAGAACCATAAAGTATTTGTTGGCTAATGTAGATGCTACAAATTTACTAAGCCGCTGCACTCGGTCTCCTAAGCACAGCCTGTCTATACAAGCACGGCAAATGAAATTCCGCATAGAACCTATGTGTGTGAAGGCACCAACTTTTCGGCCCCCTATATAGACTTCTACCACGAAATGTTCACCTCCAGAACCTTTAGCCATCATCGCCCAAGAGTCTCTAGGGTCCTCCTCTAACCATCTAGTCTCTAACTCCTCTAAGGACTCAAACATATCCATCGAACAGAGTATCGATTGGTCGAATTTGTCTACCGGGCGATATGCGGGTCAATAGCCTCAACCATCGTCTGAAGCGGAGAGGGCAAGGTAACCACAAATAATATAATACAAGAAAAAACACCAATATTCATAAATAAATAAAAGATTATATCAACTAATAATAGTAATAAACTAGCATATCTATTATTTCTACCTACTATAATACCAATTAATAAATACTTGGCCTTAGCAATTGAAGAATATGGAAGTATACGTTTCATGCTCATTTCAACCATAGCTAAAAGATTTCCTACAATGATACTAAGTATAGCCAATATAATATATGTAAAAGATGAAATTACTATCTTATTGTTTAGTAACTTCTAGTTTAATCCGTGAAACTACAGAAAATGAATCTGCTAATGCAAGTTACAAATTTGGTCAAGAAAAAGAAACTTATAACATTGTAGCAGCTTATACTTACTTCGGTCGCTTAATCTT